AGACTTATTCGTACCAGGTTTTTTCAGATCAACTATAAGGACCAATATCGGTCCGGATATATATATTCAGACCGATTTCCTATATATCCGGACCGATATTTCGGTTCGGAAATCCCATTCCTGCAGTAGTGATCTACTCTTAATGTTTTAATATTCCATTTAATTTGTTATCACTCAAATCAAGAATCCTAAGAGATGGAAGCTCCATTATAGAAGATAAAATCCTATTACTGAAAGAATTACTATACAAATCAAGCACTTACAAATTGTTTAGCACGATGATCTTTTAATACCAACACACATGGTTTATAAGAAATAAGTATTATTTGTATGTTTACAATTAATGAATAGTTTTGAGTCCCTAAAAAAAACATAATGTTAAAATTGAATCTCATATATTGGTCACATTATAATATGGAGACTTCCTTCCATCCCATTGCTTGCTAGATTTAACACTTTGAGGGCCCGTTTGGTTAGTGTAAAACTTTATTAAGAAAATTTTTAGTAGAAAAATAATTAAGAAAGTAGTGAACAGAAAGTTATTAAGTTTTGCAATGAAATTTTGTTAAAATTAGTGAAGAATAAACTCAAATGAAGAATAGACTCAAATGAAGCTGCAATTCCAAGCAAGCTAAAAGTATTAAAGTTCAAGCTCAATAGTTGAACCCAATTTTCCAATTATCACCCTAATTGCTTCCAAAATATTTAAGTAAATTAAATTAATTCCGTTTACAAATAGTTAAATGCATGCAATTAACATAGTAAGAAAAAATATTTTGGCTAAAAAAAAATGCAAATACAAAACTTTTAATTCTGAGAAAATTCTAAAAATTAGGCACTAATTTCATTTGACAAAATGAACCCATTCATAATATGATTGAGTGATCAAGTATTTAATTTTTAAAATTTAGAGATTATGGTATTCTAAAATCTCGTAAATCATAAATTTCAGCTTCCGAAAAATTATAGTTGCAAGATAAAATCAATCACTTCATTCCATAAAAAAAATAACTCAATAAAAAAAATCAATCAAACTTTCTCAATATGCAATAAATTAATAAAATTAATAATTTCTTTTATAGTCCATCAAACCACAGTATTGATTGATTTCCTCTATCACTTCCTGTAAGTCCGATTTTCACTACACGTGAAGCAGTGGCACCGGCCAATCAGCATCTGCTCTCGGTGGCAATGGCTAATCAGCACCTACTCTACATTGAAACCAGAGAACCTTGACTTTGACTAAAATAAAACATTTTTTGTATAGACTAGTTTCTTAGTAAGAAACTTCCATATCGTGTTGACTACGAGTTACGGTCCATGCATGGGTCCTCTTGGATTTGGACTTTCTTTACTTTCTCCATTCTTTTTTATTTTTTTTTATTTTTTTTTAAGTTTTTGTGTTGGGGTATTTTTTAAAAGATTAAATATTAATTTTGATATTTTAATTTTAACATTTTTTAATATTTTTATATTTTTAAAATTTATTATTTTATGTAAAGTATATATTATTATTTTTAATGTTTTTTAATGATTAATCGCTATTAAAATTGATTTGAAAAGCATAATCAATGATGCGTTTAGAATTGTTATAAAGTTTTATGACTGTAATTGCGACTATAACTGTGGTTATAATAAATTATATTATATTGTAATTGTGATTAAAAATTATTTTGGAATATGATTATTTATTTTTTAAAAATATTATTGATAAAATATGGTAAATTTTA